TTTTAATAAATTATTCTGCTCACTGAGTCTGGTCAAAAATACAGTAATTTAAAATAACTGTTTTCTATTTTAACATTTTAAAAAGTAATTTATTCCTACTCGAGAAACATTTCTTATCAGTGTTGAAGACCAGTTTATGGAAATTTAATTTTTTTTTTTTTATAAATTGAATGTTAAAATGAACAGAAGAATGTTCCTTTTTTTAATATTATAAATGTCTTTACTATCACTTTGATCAGTTTAATGCGTCTTTTTTTGAATAAAAGTATTAATTTTTTAATTTTTTTAATCTTACTGGTCCCAAAGTTTTGAACGGTAGTGTACATGTATTAAGTATAAATTGCACTCAGTTATAACTTGTATATGAACATTGAAACTGCCGTGTTTAAAAAAAAAACAAGGACCAAAAGAATGATGTGAAGTATCCTATTCAGTATGCATCCATTTTAATGCTTGATTTTGTTTGTTTTTGCAGTAAAGAATTTTGGTACTGTAGTAACTTGCCACTTGATTTGAAATCTGGGTCCTAAAGCAGAACCAGTTGAAAAACGGACTCTTCCCCTGATATATTGACCCATGCCTTTTTTTAAGGACAGTTAACCTAATAAATGCACGGTATGCAGTGGTAGCAGTTTTGCTTTATTTGGGCGATACACAGCATATGGTTCCTTCAGCGATTCATTTATAAAGCGCCCTCCACTTGTTCCTCTCTGGGAACAGCCTATCTCGTTCTGGTTTCTCTGAAAATCTCCACTTTCCCCACAAATCACTTACCCGCCCCCCTCTGCTCTGTTCTCAGTGGCAGGCCTACAGAATATACATCCCGTTAAGGTGAGAAGAGAGACCGGAAGCACCATGAGCTCATCTGTTTGACACTGTCTCATAAGTCATGCAGATTAATTAATTCAGCAAAAGATCTGGACGTAATGAGGCACCACTCTCCGCTGTGTGCCAAAGTGCTCTTTTTGAGGTCAGCGTTCAGTATTAACAGCCCTAATGAGAATCTGTTTATGACTCTGTCCCGTAGACCATAATGTTCCAAACATAGTAGGGTAATAACTGATCTCAGCATGCTTTTTTATGCTTGCTTGATGTGGAGAGAATGACAACGAGGGTGAAGAACATAGCTGATGCTGCTGTCAGGCCAGTTGTAACTGATTAAAATCACAAATGCCATTCGAGGCAACAAGGCGGTATCTGTCATGCTGATAGATGACATGTTAACTGCCTGACGCGTGCAGCTGTCGAAAACATATGATAAAGAATAGATGGGTGATGGACGGGAGATCATTTTCACCAGATTCCACAGTCAGAAAGGCTTTTCATAATTATTTTATGCAAAAATGTGTTTTGTCACTAGGCTGATGTTAATCTTTTGTCTTATGAATATATACGGATGCCATGCCACTATGTTTGTGTGCGTGTCTCATTTGATAGATCTTGAGCCTCAAGGCTGATGTCGTCAAAATCCATTTTATATAAATGCGTTTGAACACTTTAACTCAATAGGCCAACATGTAACCGCATTGGAAAGGAGTGCGTATTTGAATTTCACTTTTTAGTAATGTTAAAAATATGCTATTCAATTTTTAAAAGCTCTTTTACCTTTTTGAGTATTTAACATGGCTTCGCCTATTTATGCACTAGTGCTGTCCATTGCTTTGTGAAAATAGTTTTAATTGCACCGAAATTGTCAAACCTGTATAAACATTTACGGTCTTCTCTATTCTGTTCTCATTGTTTTCATAGGCTGTAATGGCCAGTGACTTTGCTCTGCCACGATTTCGATACCTGCAGAAGCTGCTCTTGGTTCACGGCCATTGGTGTTACTCTCGTCTTGCCAACATGATCCTCTACTTCTTCTTCAAAAATGCTGTGAGACCCTGAAGTTTGCTCATTTCCTAATTAAAATTACCATTGATATATATGTTGAAGTTGAACTACTGTAAAGGGACTTTGAAAAACAATATGGCAGGAATAATACATATAGTATATAGTTCGTCATTGTTGCAAAAATAAACTCTTAAATGGTGATCAGTGTTGTATCATACTGAATGAGGTTTATTTTATGATAATGACAGGCTTGCTTTATATTATCTTGCTTATTACATGGCTAAGAAATACATAAATAGGCATGAAATATTGATTTTGAGTTGGAAATATTTGCTTATGTGGGAAAGAGTGAGTGCTACAAGTGACAAGATATTAGTTGTCAGGGTCGATGGCCAAATGTACAGTTTGTGGATCCTGTAGATTTATTAAAATGTTAAATTCACTTTTTGAATATATTTGATCATTTTTTTCTATGAATCGTGATTAATGCTGGATGATATAAAGTTCAAATTACCATTCTGATGTGTTAAAATATTTTTTTACATTTATTTTTATACTTGTAATCATTAAAGGTAGGGAAGGTGATTTCGGAAAGGCTAGCAATAGCAAGCTAGCTTTTAACCCTTCTGTGTCAATTAAAAAAAGTTACACACAGGTCCATAGTGGACAAAAATGTCATAAAAATGTTAAGCTTGGGAGCACAGAGTTAAGTTTGGTCTCATTTTAAAGAAGACCCATGGCAGATTATTGTTGAAGTAAAAAAAGTGATGTTTAGGTTTATGAAAATGATTTCATGATGTTTTATATAAAATATATATTTTATGAAACATGTTGAACTCTATACCTGCTAGAAAATCAAAGCCATAAATCTAAACAAGTTGTATTCCAAATTTGAGGTTGATATCTCAAAAAAAATTAGCTTTCAGTAAGATTTTGTTTGGGCACAGTACCCTATTTTCCCCATTAGATGCCAGCAAAACTCTGCTGGTGCACACAGTGGTTGGATATGTGATTTGCAGTAGAGTTTTTCTCTCTCAAATATTACAAGAACACACACACAATTTTTTTTTTTTTGACACGCAAACAAACCACACTCTGCCATCAATACCAACACACCCACCCAATTATAGCTGAATTATTTATCCAATTGGCTCTATAATATGCAGAAGCAAAAAACTGAAATAAAGCGAGTATTTTCTTTATAGGTCAAACCCGAAAAAATGGCACCATCTGGTAAAAAATAGTAAAAAAAAATTATTTTAAAGCCTTGCCAATAGAATGAAAGCCTATCAACAAAAATTGCATAATTTTACAGTTAAATGGCACTGCGATTAAAAATAGCGGTTTTAATGGGTTTCAATGGGGACATTTTTGTCCTTAAGGTCCTGAGAGGAACAATTTTTTTTACCTAGTGCAAAACAGATGTATTAAAGGAAATGGAAGTGAAATAGTAAAATTCCAATAAAAATACACACCTGTGCCAAAATTTATGCAGTTGGCAATAGCACGGGCAAAATGGTCAAAAAAACTAAACTGAAAAGGACAAAAATGTTCAAAAGGTTGCACAAGGGTTAAAGCAAGATCCCACCTTCCTTGCATAATCATTCTTCAAAGCCACGCCTCCTCCAAAACACATAAACATGTACAGGCAGACCAGAGGCTAATCAGCGACACAATGAGAGACGGCATTGGTGGGTGATTGAATGCAACGCTGTCAGATTACCTCATGTCTCATTCACCAGTGAGAAATCATTACTGCACAAAGTGCGCAATATTAAAATAACGCCTTCCATAATGGAACACGCTGATGACTTATCATGTCTGCACGAACAGGGTGCACGGAGGTATGCAAATACATACGTTGACAGGCAGGTAGAACAGCCTATTGTAATGTTCTGACTGAATAATCTGATTGGTCGAATATTTTATGGCCCTACGCCTTCCACAGATGATATACATATAAATACATTTAGACCACTTAACTTAGTGATTGTTATCGGGATGTGAAGAGACTTTCAACCAACATAACAAAAATGTTTTTGAATCAAATCGCTTACCCTGTCTTTAAATATGAATTTGTATATTTGGTTTGTTAATGAATTAGTCGATTCCCCCCTCCATAGACAGCAATGCAACTGACACTTTCAAGTCCCAGATAGGTAGAAAAGACATAGTTAAAATAGTCCATGTGACTCCAGTGGTTCAATCTTAATTTTATGAAGCGACAATAATACTTTTGTGCACCAAAAGAACAAAATTAACAGCTTTATTCAACAATTTATTTCAGTATTCCTTGGCAGCGTGGTGGTATTCTCGTTCACAAGTTTTGTTTTTTAATGAATTAGTCTTTTTTTTTTTTTTTTTTTTGCACAAAAATGTTTTAATGCTTTAAACTTCATTCCTGTAATTACATATTTTAGCCATTATAAAAAAAAAATCTGCTCAATCCTGCAGTCAAATAGCGTATTCCAGAGAGCCGTGTAATAATGCATCCAGTTTAACAAGTTGAAGTTTCATGATGTGAATAGTTTATAGCTAGAAGCTCTTAAGCGTTGTTGTCTGTTCTTGATATGTTCTTTGATTAATTGGGGAGGTCCTAGAAATATCTTGGACATAATGAAGATGCATGACTTATGAGGCAACAACTGTAGACCTCATTATAAATTTGTTGTCTTTCTCGCACCTCTTTTCGTCTATGGTGCGGTCTTTCTCACCCTAGATGTTTGTTGCCCTCATCTTCTGGTATCAGTTCTACTGTGGGTTCTCTGGGTCAGCCATGGTTGATCAGTGGTACCTGATCTTCTTCAACCTGATGTTCTCCGCATTCCCTCAGCTCATCACCGGCACCCTGGACAAAGATGTGTCAGCAGAAACCCTGCAGGAGTTGCCGCAGCTCTACATGAATGGGCAAAACTCAGAGGTACATGCTGTTTGGGCAGATAATAATTACACCATCCGTGAACTGCATGCATTGAATTATAATTGGGACTGAAATGACTATTGAAAGTGTAATGTAAATGGTAAATAAAAAACCATGAACAGCATTTTGCCACATGTATTCACACTTGAGTTGCCTGCGGTTTGCACCATCAGCAGTTCCTCTATAAGCAGATGAAGTATATTACCCGTGCCACAGTTATTGCTTTGATTGTTTTTTGCTGACCTGTTTCAAAATGGGTCTTTTATTCTCTGCTGAGTTTCATGAAGGGGAAAACAGCACGAGCAAGAGCAAACATTTTATAAAAGCAACTAATCATCTTGAGAGTGCTGAAATGTTTCAACCTGGGATAATTAAACTGCAGCGGTTGCCTCTGCTTTGCTAACCATATGCCTCTGCAGAGGTCTTCCTTTACTTTGATTTATTCACAAACCATTTATTTGTGTTCTATGACTCCGTTAATGGAACATCTAATGACATTATAATAAAACATGGTCATCTGGAATCGTGGAATGGTTTATGCCTGGACCTGATTGTTTGAATTTCTTATACAGGAATATAAACCCTACATGTTCTGGATGAACATGATTGATGCCTTCTACCAAAGCCTCATCTGTTTCTTCATCCCTTACTTTGTAAGTTTGATTTGAATATTTTGAGCGTTCACTAAAATTTCCACGCAAAAACCATGGCTGCTCAAATATGTCTTCCTTAAGATGGAGGCCATCTGATCTTAATGGAACTTTTTAATACAGTATTTACAGTTCGAGTGCACTGCAACAATGTTTTTACTTGTTTTCCAATAAATATATTGAAAAATCCTTCAAATAAGAAGAGAAATACTTTAAGCAAGACTTCATAGGACATTAAGACTGATTTGCATAGATTGTGTCTTCTCAATTAGTATATTATGTCTGTTGTGCTGGCATTTTTTTTTTTTTTCAGTTGTTTTTAGCTTGTTAATAATTAATGCTTTAAAGTAAATTTCTTCTTTCAAGAATTTTCAGATATTTAACTGCAAATTTACTTTCTTTGGTTTTTTGCAGTGTGCATAAGAAGTGAAAATACTTAAGTAGGGTCTGTAAGTAAGCAGCGGTGTTGTTTGAATGTCATATATTTTCAGGCTTACGTTGACTCTGATGTGGATTTGTTTACATGGGGCACTCCCATCACCACCTTGGCACTCTTCACCATTTTGCTGCACTTGGGCATCGAAACCAAAACCTGGGTGAGTCTTGTTTTATAATATGCAAAATCGAATAGGATGGTGTGATGCAGTGGCTAAAACACGGTCAAACTCACTCCTAAAACTCACTCTTCGTAGTTCTTCTGTACTGCTTTTGCAGTGTAAAGACCGTTGTGCACTTGTTAAGATTGGTGAGTGTCTCTGGTTAAGCCTGCTTATTCTGTTTCTTATCTTAAACATAATTTGCAAAAATGCCGATAAGAGTAGTGAAGTCTGTTTTCAATATGATTAATGTTCATTTTAATTAATCAATTCAGTAGTTTGTTTACGCCATGATCCATTAGAAGTATTCAAGGACATCCCTGCATGGCATTTTACAAGTATATAGGTAGATGTTGTTTATTTGTGTATTCATATTGATATGGTACATAGAATGATTTTAATGTGATGTACATTTCTAATATAATAATTTTAAATTCTAATGAAAAATAATTATTCCACTCAGTTTAAAATATATTTTTTAAGTATTTTAAACCTGGGATAACTTGTTTTATTTTTATTTTATTGACTTTAAAAGATCTTTTTTTTTTGCTGCTTTAAATTCTTTGTCATACAGCCAATCTAATGCATTAACTATCAATCTTATTCAAACATGTTAATGTGGCCATTATTCACATGACTCCCTCCAATTCCAGTCATGCTAGCGCTTAATTAGTTCTTGATTAGTCTGCGAGTTCATTCACCATTAGTTCAGCTATTTGTCCAATTATTAGTACATGATTTATGTATCCTATTTGTAAAGTGTTAGTGAAATTCCTTAAATGTGCCTTTTAAGTGTTGTTCGATCCCCTGATGACTTTAATTAGTGCTGAGCAAGAAATGCACTCTACACTTGTTGATTTTAATTTTTGCTGTTCAAAGGACTAGGCATGACACTTTTACTCTATTGCATTCCATTATTGAAGCTCTTAGATCTTTACCAGTCATTAAGATGTCTCACATTATCTCACAGTCAAATATTGTCGTGTAAAGTAGAACTGTCCTCTAGCGCAGTTGAGCACAGTGGGGCTTTCTCGCTTTTCATGCATATACAAATGGTGCTTGTGGTAGGTTCCAGCTCAAGTATATGTTTGTCTTTTTCTTCATTTTTGCTGCTGCTTTTGTTTCTACACCCATTTTTTATATATATAGTATATTCGTTCAGTCATTGTGCAGAGGGCTTTAGGAAATAGAGGCCGATGCATCAAGCTACTTGGTGTTTGTTGACAGCAAAGGATCCAGGGACGTGGCCTTGGAAGATTTGATTCAGTACATTGATTCAGTGCTGATATGCCACTTTACTCTGTTTTCTTAAGGCATTTTTATGGCCTGATCTGTTGATTGAGATATATATATATATATATATATATATAGAAAATATGTATTTATATGTATTTAACTCAACCTCAATTTTAACCATTTTATTTCATTTTAATATATATGTGTGTGTGTGTGTGTGTGTGTGTGTATATATATATATATATATATATATATATATATATATATATATGCCTGCTGCTTCTGTTATTTGCTATGATTGTATTTTTCTGCTGTTTACTCTATACATGATCCTTGACCAAAGATGCAAGAAGCACATGACCGCTGGAGCGTTTGTACTGTAACCGCTTGCTTGGGCTGATGGTTTTAGCTATTAGAAATTTAATTGGCTCAGGGCAGCTACTCCTTTATTAAAGGGATATTTCTGGCAAAATGACAGTCTTTTTTTCATTGTTTACTCACCCTTATGTCATTCCAAACATTCTTCTGTTGAATGCAAAATAAGATATTTAAAAAAAAACATAAAAAAAAATGTTCCCCATGCAATGAAAGTCAATGAGGCCCAATACAGTTTGGAACCCATTGACTTTTATTGCATGGGGGGAAAAAAAAAAAATTGGTATTCCACAGGAGAATTTTTATGGCCTGATCTGTTGATTGAGATATATATATATATATATATATATATATATATATATGCCTGCTGCTTCTGTTATTTGCTATGATTGTATTTTTCTGCTGTTTACTCTATACATGATCCTTGACCAAAGATGCAAGAAGCACATGACCGCTGGAGCGTTTGTACTGTAACCGCTTGCTTGGGCTGATGGTTTTAGCTATTAGAAATTTAATTGGCTCAGGGCAGCTACTCCTTTATTAAAGGGATATTTCTGGCAAAATGAGTCTTTTTTTCATTGTTTACTCACCCTTATGTCATTCCAAACATTCTTCTGTTGAATGCAAAATAAGATATTTAAAAAAAACATTAAAAAAAATGTTCCCCATGCAATGAAAGTCAATGAGGCCCAATACAGTTTGGAACACATTGACTTTTATTGCATGGGGGGGAAAAAAAAAAATTGGTATTCCACAGGAGAAAGTAAGTCATGTTGGTTTGGAACGACATGAGGGTGAGTACACAATGACAGAAATGTCATTTTTGGCTGCACTATCTCTTTAAGCGTCTTTTTGCCCTCACCGCTCAAGCTACTATACCCAAACTGGTCCTATTTTTTCATGACAGGAATCATGTATTGAATGCATTTGTGCCTCGCTCACCCTCAGGAGCGTCAACGTATGTTCATGAAAGCATTCCGTTTTGATCAGTCTATTCTAAGGGAATTAACAGACTAGTCCATGACTTTGTGACTTCTCATTGTATTAAAGCTGGAATGTGTGTAATGAACGGTTCAGACGAGCACATGGGAGGTTATCCGTTTGTTCCGCAAGAGAATATTCCACGATTCCGCAAATGTCAGGGGCGTGCCGTATTATAGAGTCCCCTATAGAGATGCTAAAATAGTTTTTATGAGATGATTTGTCATGCTGTGCTCACATAACCTCAAGGCCTCGCCAATCTGTTCGTTCAGGATCTCATTTGGGCAGTCGCTATCAAAACCGCTGATTTATGAACAGCCTACCAGGAGGATTATGAGATCTATTGTGTTCATTACACAACAAATGGTGTGAACAGAATGTGCTCAGACCAAAAAAATAGGGTTGTTACATTAGAAAGCTTTTCGATTGTACTTCCGTGGCATTCATAAACCCAAAAACTCATGTTTTTTGAGAAAAATGGGTGTATATAGAGGGCGATGCAGTATTAAGCTGGGTGTGAGCGGGGGAAAAAATGACTGACTGTCTCCGTATGTGTCTGGATGCTACCGTAAAACCCTAAAGAAGATAATATGAAGCACACAAGTACTTTGTCCCGTCAGTTGTTCTTCTGCACAGCTCAGGTTCAGCGCTTGCCGCTTTGAGAAATATTTTCGTCGCGTTGAATTTGTAATGTTTATAGCATCAAAAATTAATTTGTTTTGTATTCATAGTTTGATGATGCCAATGTTTGTATGTGCTGAAGTGCTTTAGTTACGCAAGAAAATGGTTTTATGCGATGTGGAATACGTATATATGTTATGTGCCTTAACACTGGAGAACACATGTAGACAGCAATACATAGTGAATTTTATATACATGCAGTATATGTAAAGTTATTTGGAGTTATATTAATAAATGAGGTTTAATGAAAATATAAAAAAAATCCTTTTGGTTTTTAACAAATTGAAGAGATTATGCTGTATTTTTTCCATACTTAGTTTGTTTGTTGTTTTTAGATTGGAATGTGCCAGTACTTGGTCTGTCGAGTTCTTGGCCAAGCATCACATGCTGTAATAGAATCCATCCACAGCTGCATTCCAGAGCCTTTCCTTAACTTCAGGGTAGATCACCAGCAGGAATGCAGTCTTTCAGAGTTTGTTATAGCACACATGTAAGCATTGGGTGGACTTTTTGATACTCAGCATGACTTTTATCACTGTCACTGCCATTACTGTTTCTGGTTCATTGTACTGTAATTGGTGTTTGTTATAGTCACACAAAGGTTCAGTTCGTTCTCACTGTAGACTCACTACATTGCCAGCCCTTCATGAAAACACCTGTTTCAAGTGGTTCTCTGACATTTTGGAGGGGTTGCTTAAATTGTTCACTCATTCTGTGTTTGTTTCTTGACAATGAACAACTCTTTTGTCATAAAACTGAAATAAATGGTAAAAAAAATCATTCTCTTGTTTGATTTTCTTACTGAACACTCCAAAAGTACAAGTAAAATAAATATTCCAAGTGTTTTGGAGCCTGCGTGTGAGGAAAATGCAGTGTTATTTAGTATTATTGAGATACTCTTATAGTTTTGATTAATATTTTTAATTTTCATTATAATTTTAGTTAAGGTTTTATCTATAGTCAAGAGCCCTTCATGAAAACACCTGTTTCAAGTGGTTCTCTGACATTTTGGAGGGGTTGCTTAAATTGTTCACTCATTCGGTGTTTGTTTCTTGACAATGAACAACTCTTTTGTCATAAAACTGAAATAAATGGTAAAAAAAAATCATTCTCTTGTTTGATTTTCTTACTGTTGGATGGATGGATGGGGCCATGTATCGTGAGATTTTGGGCAACAACCTCCTTCCCTCAGTAAGAGCATTGAAGATGGGTCGTGGCTGGGTCTTCCAGCATGACAATGACCCCAAACACACAGCCAGGGCAACTAAGGAGTGGCTCCGTAAGAAGCATCTCAAGGTCCTGGAGTGGCCTAGCCAGTCTCCAGACCTGAACCCAATAGTAAATCTATGGAGGGAGCTGAAACTCCGTGTTGCCCAGCGACAGCCCCAAAACCTGAAAGATCTGGAGAACACCTGTATGGAGGAGTGGGCCAAAATCCCTGCTGCAGTGTGTGCAAACCTGGTCAAGAACTACAGGAAACGTCTGACCTCTGTAATTGTAAACAAAAATGTTATTACAATATAAAATAATGGTTTTAAAAACTTTAAAATATATTTTATTTCTGTGATGCAAAGCTGAATTTCCATCAGCCTTTACTCCAGTATAAAGTGTCACATGATCTTTCAGAAATCATTCTAATATGCTGATTTATTATTAGAATCATCAATGTTGGCAACAGTTGTGCTGCCAAATATGTTTTTTGGAAACCGCGATACTTTTTCAGGATTCTTTGATGAATAAAAAGTTAAAAAGCCCAGCATTTATTCAAAATCTAAATATTTTCTAACAATATAAATATTTGCTATCACTTATCAATTTAACACATCCTTGCTGAATAAAAGTTTTAATTTCTTTAAAAAAAAAAGAATAAAAATTTACTGACCCCAAACTTATTGTTAGAAAAGATTTATTTTTTAAATAAATGCTCTTTTTAAATTTTTATTCATCAAAAAATCTGGAAAAAAGTCTCACAGGTTCCAAAAAAATATAAATTATAACAGTTTCCAGCACTGATAATAAATCAGCATATTAGAATGATTTCTGAAGGATCATGTGACACTTTAGACTGGAGTAATGATGCTGAAAATTCAGCTTTGCATCACATAAATAAATTATATTTTAAAGTATATTAAAATAGAAACCATTATTTTATATTGTAATAACATTTTGTAATTTTACTTATTTAACACAAAAATAGCTTTAAATAATCTTTTGTGGGTATTTTCACAGTCAAATTTATTTTGCGATTAGTTAGATTAATTAATCGAAACATCATGTAATTACTTGGATTGAAAAACTAATATAATTTGTTTTGTCCTGGTAGCTAGATTAAACAATAAATTATTTTATTTTATTTCAGTTAACGTTTATTTCAAGTAACGAAATATAGAATTTTTAGTATGTAATTTAATAATCTATGGTTTTAGTTAACCATAATATCCCTGGGAATAATCCAAATGTGTCATTATTCGTGGAGAAGTTTTCTATTTGTTGTAGCTGCCAAATCTTGTTGACATATATATACTGTACATTCATTCAAAGCAGATTTATTATTCTCATGAGACACATTGACATCAATTCCATTTTGATACACCATGTTGAATAGAATCTGATTTTATTAACATATTTTTTGGTGCTGGACAATGTTGGTGCCCATTGTTTTCTGTTGCATAGAAAAGAGCAAACGTTCTGCAAAATAAGTCATATGGGTTTGGAACAAGAGTGAGTAAATGATGATTTATTATTTTTGGGTGAGTTATTCCTTTAATCCCTGATTTGCCCTTATATACCTCAGAGACATTTTTCTTATTTTTTCTCAAATCTCCAGGTTGGCACTGGTATTCCAGCACACTGTAATTGCTGCCTCCCAGTAGGATCTGCAGGATGACTGTAGCACATGACAGCTGGGTGGATGCATTCACCTCAGGGAACAGCTGGAGACGATATACACAACAGCAGTGGCTGGAAGCATCTGTCAGCACAAGAAGTGCTTGCTCACCCAAAGGCATGATGACATTTTGTCATTTTTAATGCCTTTTAACTGGTGTTAGACAATGGCTGAGTTATGACACTTGATGTTCACCCAGCTTATCAAGGCTTGATGGAAAACACCCAATATGTCTAATTTGTTGGTAGTTTCAGTGATATTTGTAGTATTAGCCATAACTACACCCATTCAGAATTGGTTTGGTGTTTTGGTTTTCGTTTTTATTTCATTGTTTTGAGTTTGTGTGTGTATGTGTGTAACCATAGTTTGGGGACAAATTTGTACCCAAAAGTGAGCTAAACCTGACAAAATCTCCAAAAACCTCCCTTTGGGGACGCCCTCATTTGTAAGTTTTTTTTAAATTGTAAAAATGCAGAAAGTTTTCTGTAAGGGGTAGGTTTAGTGGTAGGGTTAGTGTAGGGCGATAGAATATACGGTCTGTACAGTAGAAAACCATTACGCCTATGGAATGTCCCCATTTAAATAGTTAAGTGTGTGTGTGTGTGTGTGTGTTTCTTGGTTTGGTTTTGGTTTATTTGGGTTTATTTTTGGATTATTTGGGTTTTTTGTTTGTTTGTTTTTGAGGCACAATCTGCAGTTTCTGTGAAATTGATTTAAACATGGTAAATGTGTTAAACAGAGCTGGAAGTTTATTGGTAGATAACAGTGTTATGGCAAATAACTGTGTAAATTAAATATCAGCATTTTTTGTCTCAAACTTTTATCAACTTTTTCTCTGTTGATCAATCTGAAGAAAAAAAGTTGTTTTAATACATTTTCTGTGTTTTGGACAAAATTAAGTGGAATGAACATTAGATATGTTTGGATTTGCTCACTTTACTCATCCAATATAAATCAAACATTAGTAAGTTCAAATAATAAAATATAAGTGAAATCAAAGTTCTATTTTGTATTACTAAAGGCCTTGGCATTAGTCCCAGCTATTCAAAACAACCTGATTTTTATTCTCTGATTTTTGCTGAACCATTATTTCTCTCATGACTCAAGATTTACTTGGGAGAAAACTCTATACAGTTTTATCCTGAGCAAGAGTTGGCAAGGCCTTTAGAACTGAAGTTGGAAGATGGATGATATCTGGCCCAGAGTTGCTATTGCTGGTGGTTGGGTGGTGCGTTTAGCATCTGTGGTCCCTCTTCAGGAGCAAGGAAAGAGGTTATTAATGAATTTCCTTTAAAGCACGAAGCAGTGGGGGAGGTTGTGCTGATGCTGCTGTACAGAGCTTCCCTCCGGCCCCTGCCACTGGCAAATTACTGGCCGCCGCCTTTGCACTTTTCAAAATCAACTTCTGTCATCCAGACAAGGAGATAATGATCTTCCTTTACTTGCTAACGTGGTCTCTTTTCAGATGTTAGCACAGCACTCTAGAGTTCTTACCTCTGTCTTTTTCCTTCGTTCTGTCTTGTGCACTGTCTGATTTGTGGTGATGAAGTTTGTTTTGACTTTGCACCACTATTATTTCTCCCTCAGAGACCAGCTGTGATATGTGGCTTG